TTTTCTTTTTGCTTATGTGGTGCTGAGGAATCGAACCCAGGGCCTCATGCATGCAAGGCAAGCACTCTACCACTGAGCCACCTTCCCAGCCCCTAGCATGACTTTCTTATCAGTCATTCCTCTAGGTCTCACTAGTAAAGCAAGTGATTCCTCAGGGCAGGTTCAAATCATCCTAATCATATGGATGTTTACTTAGGGCCTCTTTCTATGAAATTCATGATTGTTCATGAGAGAGAAAAGGAAAAGGAGAGAGAAAACTATTACAGGGATTGAACTCCGGGCGTTTTATTTTTATCTGTCCTTTATCTTTTTCCACTCAAGGCTGGCATTCTACCCCTTGAGCCAGAGCTCCACTTCTGGCTTTTTGCTAGTTAATTAGAGATAGAAGTCTCATAGATTTTCCTGCCCTAGCTGGTTTCACATCTCAATCCCCAAATCCCAGCCTCCCGAGTAGCTAAGATGATGGGCCTGCAGCACCCAGCTATACTCTTACCTTGCTTACTCAACTAATCTGATTTAAATTACCCAGGAGTCATTATATGAGAGGAAATACTACCTGGAGCCATTCCAACACGAAAAGAAAAAAAACAATAAAGATTCAGTTTATCATAGATGGAAAACACTTTTAAAGCTAGATGGAAATCAACCAGTACTGATTGCATCTTGATGGTAAGTTGTACCATTTTAAGAAACAACCAAAAGGTTACATTTCCCACTAATGGGCTGGAGTTGGAGAGAAAGGAAATGAATGCATGTAAATGAACGCGGTCATAAATCTATGGAATGACGGTAGGACCAGGCTGAAATCCTGCTCGAGCCTATTTCCTTCTTTGGTAACCTCTTGGCTATATTCAGAAGTTACAACTTCATTAGCAGCTCGTCAGTCATTGGTGGAGTTCAAATCTTATCAAATGGGTGACTGACCTTAGTTGTGTGTGTGTGTGTGTGTGTGTGTGTGTGTGTGTGTGTGTGTGTGTCATTCTGCTTTTAGACATGCAAACAAAAGAAAAGACTGAAAATTGTCAAGTGGGATGACACAAGAAAATTGCACAGTAGCCAGATCACACATAGAAAGTGACAGAAAAAGGGTAGGCAGCTCTGTGATGTTCTTCTGACTCTCACCTGATCGAGAAATACAAAAGGTACGAAGTTAGAACTCACTAGCTGTCAAGCCAACCACAACCAATCAGAGGCAGAGACTTCAGCAACAACACAGACATTCTGTAACCCTGGGCTTGCCATCTTCCTGCGAGGGGGGGCGGGGGGGGTAATGGACCATACTTACTCTTCCAGGAAGTGCTGCTGGGGTCCAATGATGGAGCCTGGCCGGCAAATTCTGATCCAAGCAATGATTTCGGCATGAGTAAACCTGTAGTGTTTCATTACATAACAGGCGATCAAGGTCCCTGTTCTTCCAAGGCCAGCTGGAAGGAGAGGAAAAGAGAAGAAAATCAAAGTATAAACAAATGTACCCACAAAATAGACTGAGGTTAGCAGGCACTGGTGACTCACACCTGTAATCCTGGCTACTCAGCTAGGCTGCAGCTGTGAAGGGGAAATACTGGATTAGGGTGACATTTCAAGTAGGTCAGAAAGAAAGTTTAAGATGACCCATGAAGATAGGCACCAGTGGCTCATACCTATAATTCTAGCTACTCAGGAGGCTCTAAGGATGGTGGCTCAAAGCCAGCCTGGGCAGGAAAAGTCCGTCAGAGTCCTATTTCCCATTAACCACTTAAAAGCCAGCCGGGAAGGTATGGCTCAAGTGATAGAGTGCTAGTCTTTAACATAGGCAGGCCCTGAGTTCAACCCCAGCAGACACACACACACACACTAAGATATTTGCCAACTGGGAAACTGATACAAGGTCAGTTTCATCTGTGGAAACATTTAAGTTCGAAAAGGAATGCAGGAAAAGACAAGAGCCTCATTTCTTCATGTATGTGAGCAACTTCTGGTTTTGAAGGGTCCTGTGTCAGTTTTCCTCGTGTCAAATACTAAAAAGGACTCTTGCTCTGATCTTCCCAGTCCTTTGAATACATAGTATTTCAGCAAATCTGGGACAGCATCTCAACTCTAATAGCTCAATATACTCCATTACATAAGTTTGACTAAGTAAGAAAAAAAAAATCAAGCAATGACACACTATCAATTTTGAAACCCACCCTAATTTCAGAAGTGTTATCATATGAAAAAGGTATGTTGCCAAATGAGTGTGTCACACACCCTTTTTATATGACTGCTCCCCTGGGAACCTCTGCTGTTGGTTTTATCCTAATTATCCTCCAATGTGGAAATCCATGCTTTATAGAGAATATATGTATACATATATATTGCATATGTATGCATCTTGTTTTCTTTTTAAGTCCCTTTCTCCTCAGAAAAGTAAGTAAAGTCGGCCTGAGCACTGGTGGTTCACACCCATAATCCTAGACCTACTTAAGAGGCTGAGATCTGAGGATCGAAGTTCAAAGCCAGCCCAGGCAAGAAAGTCCATGAGACTCTTACCTTCAGTGAATTACCAGAAAACCTGAAGGAGAGCTGTGGCTCAAGGGACAGTGCCCAGGCCTGGAGTTCAAGCCCCACAACCAGCAAAGTAAATAAATAAAGAGTAAGGCTTAATATCGGTCTCAGTGGGGTTCTTCTTTTAACATAATTGGTCCTTGATACCTATTGTTGTTAATTACCTGAAATAGGACAACACAACAGAGCATCCTGGAAGAGGAGTCAGAGGCCCAGTAAGTTTCTAGTTCCCCTGTCAGGGTCTCTGTCTAGAGATCAGTGGCTTTCAGCATTCTCCTTGTGCTAGGTGTTGTATGGTGCCCTTGGTGAGGATCTGAATCCTACTCATCACCAAAAAGGTGATGCAGAGAGAATTTTCCAGTTTCTCTGAAACTGAAGTTGCTTCCCCCCCTTTTAAAAAAGAGTCTATAATTTATTCTATAAAAAGAACCTATTTAGCACGCAATAGTTAGGAGCTCTTGCCGCAAGTGAACAGAATAGGAACACTTCACTAAGTTTCTATAAAAACTTTAACCAAAAAAAAAAAAAAATATTAAAGCATCCGTAATTAAAGGGCTCCCTAGCACAGCATGACAAGAGGTTGATGGTGTTCTATTTATACAAAGTCAAACTCCAATTGTTTTATTGTGCCAGCCACTTTGCTGAAATCCCTGTCGAACATCAATAATCACATACAAGAACATCGTGTGTGTGTGTGTGTGTGTGTGTGTGTGTGTGTGTGTGTTGGACTGGGACTTGCATTCTCCGCTTGGCTTTTTCACTCAAGGCTAGCTGTCTACCACTTCAATCATAGGTCTACTTCCAGCTTTTTGGGTGGTTAATTGGAGATAAGAGTCTTATGGACTTTTCTGCCCAGGCTGGCATTGAACCGTGATCCTCAGATCTCAGCCTCCTGAGTAGCTAGGATTACAGGCCACTAGTGCCTGCCTATTGCCATTCTTCATCAGCACCAAGTGGACCCACATTTCATCAAATTGACTTCTAAGGTTTCACACCTTCCCAGCAAGTCAGTTTCTAGCTCATCTCTGTTTTTCTTCTTCCTCCTCCTAGTTCAATTAAAATGCTGAGCGCTACTTGAATTCCCAGAAAATTAAGCTGACTTAATTAGGGCAGATGTCAAAATAATTAACAGGCTTATGGTAGATAAGTATGTAATTAAAAGCAATACAGCTGTAATTAAATCAAAGGTGTGAGCCTTACAAAAAGAATCCTCCATGTATATGCAAGTGGATAAAACAAATAACAGTCTCAAAAAGATGCCACCACATATACATGTGGCCTTCCTGTATAAGAACTCACCCCAGAGCTGACAGAGTGAAATGTAATATGAAACAAATATATACAGTTCTTAAAAAGTAAATAGTCATAAGCCAAGAATATACAGAGAACACTGGTAACAAAAGTGTTTGACTCCAGGGTTTTATTTTCCCAATGTTTCATAGACAATCAAGAAAGATATAGTGAGGCTGGGGCTGCCTATAATCCTAGCTACTCAGGAGGCTGAGATTCTAAGAACTGAGATCCAAAGCCAGCTCCGGCTGAACAATCCATGAAACTCTTATATCCAATTAACCAGAAAAAAAAAAAAAAAACAGGAGTAGAAGTGTGACTCAAGAGATAGAGGACCAGCCTTAAGCGAAAAAGCTAAGTGACAGCCCAAAGCCCTGAGTTCAAACCCCAGTAACAGCACAGAGAGAGAGAGAAAGAGAAAGAGAGAGAGAGAGAGAGAGAGAGCAGATACTAAAGTTTAGTGAAAGCTTTGTACTTCTTCCTTAAATCTGTCGACCCAACATATGGATTATTAATCTACAGATAAATTATATGGACTGATGTCACAAAACTGACAAGCTAACAGGGCCAATTAATTATCATAGGACAAACACTTTTATTTGGGGGATTTTTTTTTGGTCACTCCTGGGGCTTGAGCTCAGGGCGTAGGCACTGTCCCTGAGATCTTTTTGCTAAAAACTAGCACTCTACCACTCTGAGCCACATTTCCGCTTCTGGTTTTTGAGTGGTTAATTGGAGATAAGAGTCTCACAGACTTTCTTTCCCAGGCTGGCTTCAAACTGCAATCCTCAGGTCTCAGCCTCCTGAGTAGCTAGGATGACAGGCGTGAGCCACCAGCACCTAAACGATTTTTTTTTAATAACATGAAACTGAACTTTGGAAAAGGAAACGAGTATTTTCTACAAAACCTTGGTGGCTACTATAATCCCATTAGCTCTTAAGTTCTTTCTACAGATATTTGAAATACTTAATATAAACACAGGTGCTTTTCTTAGCTTTTCTTCTACCAAAATGAGATGGAGAGGGAAACATAGGGTGGAAATGAAGCACACCGGGAACAAGCCAATTCTCCATCACCCCTGTAACTTGAGTGAGTGAGACCACCTTCCCAATGCCACACCAGCCTTCTACCCAGAGAGGACGGGTGCGGACAAGGACCTGCTGTCTGGAAGGTGTCCCCAGGAGGACTCAATCCTGCCCCCCCCTCTCTCTCTTTCTCTCTCTGCCTCTGGGAAATCACATCTTCCCTCTTATTGCTGCTCACATGTTCCACCAAGTACCTCCACCTACTCAAGTCTTAAACATAGAAACGAGAGCCTACAACACGGTATTTTAATTTCTGTCAGTACCAAAGCCACAGGCATCTGAATAAGGCAGTTACAGCAGCTTTAGGCACAGGAAAAGAACAGTTCCATCCCCAACACCTACTAGCCAATTAGCATAAAAGGCAACATTTCTCCCCCCCCCCACCACCCAGACACAAAAACCAAAAGAACAGCACCACCTAGTGGCTGTATGTGAGAACGTGGAGGCTGCATCCCAAGCTGGCCAACATCACATCACCAAAGTCAAAGATCCAGTAAAATTATCTTCTACCAGGCCAGCAAATCTAAAGTGGATTGTGAGCCTCCTTCAAGTCTCATGGCTGTAGACAAATGCCACTAGCTCTCTGGGTAGCTGACGCTGGGTTTTCAGATGAAGTATAGAATGGAGGTCCCAGGCGATATTTGAAACAGACAGACCACATAGAAGTATTCTGTAATCCTAGCTACTCAAGAGGCTGAGATCTGAGGATCACGGTTCAAAGTCAGCCTGGGCACAAAAGTCCGTAAGACTCTCAATCTCCAATTAACCACCTAAAAACCAGAAGTGAAGCTGTGGCTCCAAGTGGAAGAGAGCTAGCCTTGAACAAAAAAAAAAAAAAAAAACCTCAGGCTCAGTGCCCAGGCCCTGAGTTCCAGCCCAATGACCATCAAAAGAAACAGTACTCACTCTTTGTATAATACTCAATTTCACTGGGAATCCTATATTTTTACTTGCTAAATCTGACAAGCCAGTAATTACTATGTTCTGAACAACCTCATCCCCCCCCACCCAAATATCCACCCCAACAAGTCGTTGAGTTCATCCAGAGGTAGGCTCCCATTAGTAGCAAGTAAGATAGTGGCCAGAAGATATTCTGGTCCATAGAGGAAAAAAAATGAGCAGGTGGGAGGCAAGCACTAGTGGTTCCTATCTGTAATCATAGGCTGAAATCCAGAGGATCAAAGCCATCGTGGGTAGCAAAGTTTATATAAGACTCCATCACCTAAATAATCAAAAAAAAAAACCTGGGCTGGAATGTGGCTCAAGTGGTAAGAGCACCAACCCAGCAAGCAAGTATGGTGATATACAGACTCCTTATGGTTTCCTGAGGTCCCAACTGGCTCTGTTGAAGTTCTCTGTGATTTGGGGAGGAAGGGGAGGAAGAGGGCTTCCATCCCAGGCAGTGACGCCCCCCACCCCAGGCCATGGCGCTCACCTTTGCAGTGGACGGCGATGGCCCCAGTGGTATTCTCACAGATGTTCAGGAATCTCCGCACGATGTTGTCGCTGGGTGTGCTGCCGTCGATGAAGAAGAGGTCGTAGTGCTCGAAGCCTGCATCGGTGAAGCGCTTCGCCTCGTAGATCTTCTTGTTGAGTCTCACGATGGCCGTCACGTTATGCTTTTTGAAATAAGGGAAGTAGGCTTCGGGGGCATGAAGAGGATAACCTTTAAAGCAATAAAATAAAAGGAGAAGAGGAGCCATAAGCAACAGGTGTGCCTCTTGACTTGCAGTGCTCTGACACACAAAACCCTCAACCATCACCAGGGCAGAGCATAAGAGACCCTGGAAGAAAAGCGTGGTATGTATGCAATCTGCATCGATAGCAACCATCAGATGAGGTGAAGGCAAACTGTTAAGTATTAACGTTCCAACTCTCAACCTCGAGGATTTCAATCCTGGGAACATCCATCCTCCAGCCCTCGCCACAGAAATAAAAGACATCCCATAAGCTGTCCCGTGTCCACATCACAAGCCAATTTGGAAAGAGTCTTTGGAGATTTATTTCCCCTCATGCATTATGCTTCATTGAGCAAATACACTTCAACTACAGTCAGAGCGTTTATACCAGAGACATAGCGTCCATCCATCCTATAATCCCCAGCAAAACTGGCTCATGACTCTTAATAACAATGGAAAGAATAATAGAGTCACTGAGAGTAGATCTGTGTGTGTATGTGGGGCTTGAACTCAGGGCCTGGGTACTGTCTCTTAGCTTTTTCACTCAAGGCTAGTACTCTACCATTTAAGCCACAGTTCTACTTCTGGCTTTGTGGTGATTAACTGGAAGTAAGAGTCTCACAGACATTCTTGCTCAAGCTGGCTTTGAATCATGATCCTCAGGTCTCAGCCTCTTGAGTAGCTAGGATTACAGACATGAGCTACCATGCCCCAGCTGGCAGTAGATTTTAACCAACAAAAAAAAATGATAAATGTGCGGGGCACACACCTGTAATCCTAGCTACTCAAGAGGCTGAGATTCGAAGATCATAGTTCGAAACCAGCCGGGGCAGAAAAGTCCCCTGAGTCTCTTCTCTCCAATTAACCACTCAAAAACTGTAAGTGGTGCTCAAGTGGTAGAGAACTAGCCTTGAGCACATAGAGGCTCTGGGACAGTTCCAGGCACTGAGATCAAGCCCCAGGACTAGTACACACCAAAATAAAATAATTATTAATTGAGGAAAAGAAGCTGAAAGCATAACATTTGGGTGGATATATATTTTTTTTCTTTTTTTGTCAGTCGTGCGGCTTGAACTCTGGGCCTGGGCGCTGTCCCTCAGCTCTTCAGCTCAAGGCGAGCACTCTACCACTTGAGCCACAGCGCCACTTCCAGTTTTCTCCTGCTTAAACGGAGATAAGAGTCTCACGGACTGTCCTGCCCGGGCTGACTTTGAATGGCGATCCTCAGATCTCAGCCTCCTGAATAGCTAGGATTACAGGTGTGAGCCACCAGCGCCCAGTGGATATTTTCATTTACAGAGGGGAAAGGAGACACTGAATGTGCAAATGGCCTCAGAGCTGCAGAAGCAGCTGGGCTGCAGATCTACTCTTGGCCTGTCAAAGTGATCAGCAGGGAGTTTGACCACTGCAAACTTGGCCTAGCAGCCCCAAGGGTTAGGGGGTCTCATTGCTCAGCTATACAATTATCCCATCTGTAAATCATCCAGAGTCTACTAATGGATGGCCAACCTGGTGAGCGGACCGACCTCATCAGGGATTGATTCACCACGGCGGGCTCCTGGGGTGGCAGCCAGAGGCCAGCACAGTGAAGCGGAGGCTCCCACTGCACCCGTGGCTACATGTCCCTCTGCCTTGGCTTCGGCTTGTGCTGCTCTTATTTTCTCTCAGCTCCAAACTGACCCTGGGTGACATCGCTTTGTGGTCTAGGGGGTCTAGAGATGACCCCCTGTTTTTCCTGTTGGCTTCCAAATGGAAGGGCCTACTGGCAAACCAGAGAAATGGACACCTGCTGTTTCCTCCATAATGTTCTGGATTCTTCCTTGTTGTCTTTTGTTCTCTCTCTCTCTCTCACTTTCTCTTTCTCTCTTTCTGTAACAAACTCCTTCTATTAAACATCCTCTGTTCAAAATACCTGTTTTGGTCTCTTCCTACCTGGATCTTGCAAATACATTTTCCAGGCAGGAAAATCAGGAACATTCTAGATCGCCTATGAGCACTACCAGCTCAGGATCTAGTCATGATCTAGATAATGAACTAAGCCTCGTTCTAGAGCCTTCTTTTAGAGTCTATGGTCTAGTTAACATATTTCAATCAATGCCTGTGTAGTTGCATTTGCCACCGTTGATTCCTACCGCTTGCAACATGTGGCCAAAGTTACACAAAAGATGTGAGGCCGAATTAGAAGGCAGGCCTAGCAAAGCCCAGCCCAGAACTGCGATTTCCATCAGCCATGCCAAGCAGGTAACACAGAATATACTTAACACTTCCTGAGTAGAAACAGCAACTTATGCACCCACGAAAACATAGGCTCTTCTGTTAACAAACAAACAACAGTCTGTTTTTCTGCTTGGTTTCTTTGCGCCAATTGCTTTCCACAATGAAGTAAGAGCTTCTGCATGAGGCGAGGAATGGGAAGAGAAAGGACTTTAACTACATGGGAAGCCTTCCTCGGGTGTGCTAGGCTGATGGGAGCCTCTGCCTTTGGGTGCCTGACACCTCCGTACCTCCATTTGCTCACTGCATAGTTGGATGTCAACCCACCCCTCATCTTCCTACCGCCACAGCTGGAAGAACTTCTCATTTTCACTCACTCATGTCTGAACTCAGAACCTCATGTTTGTTCAGCTCTGACTCCTCAAAACTGATGCTCCACCACTGATGCCTCCCGCCCTGTTTTCTGCTGGTCATTTTGGAGTTGGAATCTCACACAAACTTTTCTAACTGAACTGGCTTCTAATCAGGATCCTCTAGATCTCTGCCTCCTGGGTAGCTAGAATTATAGGCTTGATGCACCATCACCCAGCTGTGCTCTTTTTTTGTTGTTGTTGTTTTAAGATCAATTTCCACCAGGAGTAAGCAGAGAATTTAGCTAACACAGCTAAGCAGACTATTAAAAGAAACAACGGCTATCTTTTATTAAAAGAAACAATGGCTATCTTTTGAGAAAAGGACATTGGACATACTTTTGAAAATAGGGCAACAGGACACCAGGATAATAAGAACTATCATTATCACATGCAAAGTTTACTAGTCACTTACTATGTCCCAAGCATGAACTTCACTAAGATAGTCATGAGAATTCACTCACAGACCAGTTCTCAAGTCCACTGCCAGGAACGCCAACTGTCCTTGGCACACATAGCTCGTAAGAGGTACAGCCAGCCTCTGAACCTCAAAATGAGACTCCCAACACCTGTGCCACAGCTGACTTCAGGTAAGACTTGCCTTGATTCTGTGTATTAGGCTTTCTGCTAGGAGGATACAATTTGAAATATTAAGAACTGTACTTCCTTGAGTTAATAAGCAGGATGTTTTGACATCCTTAAGATTGTTTCAAATTCACTGAAACCAACATATAATGAAAATAACCTGTTACCTCTCACCAACTGTTTGGGGGTATCATCAGTGTATTGGATGCCTCTCTGTATAGGAGCTTTAGCAATATTCACCTCCTTGGGAACCCTCAGATCACCAAAAGTGACGGGTCACGCCTCCGGCCCTTACTCCATCTGGCCACTAGATGGTGCTATGGCCTTAGCCAGGGACAGGCTCAGCCCAGGAGGTGAGCAAACCACACACAGAAATTCTCAATTAACAGGTTTAAAAAAAAAAAGTATCTTCTATATATAGCTGTCCAGTCCCTTCTTTTTAAAATTAGGAAACTAAAACAAACAAACAAAAAAGGCAGAGTTAAATAGAAGTCCACCAGGTAGGCCATTATTTGAAGCATAAAGAGCAGAGCAATGTCCGAAGACAAAAAATGTCGACTAGGTGCCTTAATGATAAAAGTCATAATCATACTGTCTGCTAGCCTACTCTGTGCCTACCGCTGTCCAGACCCTGCCTCATAAGACATCTGCCCCCTAGCTAAATGGCTGTGAAGTGAATCACATTCCCCTATGGTAATGGGGAGCTCCCCAAGGCTCACCCCATTGCCAGACAGAGCCAGGCTTCCACCTGCCTGGGTGTACTGCCCATCTCCCACCCAATGAGCAGAATGCTGCTGAAACAAAATGGATTTTCTGTGTCAAGCTACATCCCTCCCCGTGTGTGTGTGTGTGTGTGTGTGTGTGTGTCTAGAAGTGAGAATAAGATTGCCTTTTAAAGTATTTTCTTAAACTAGGTACTATTGGCTCACTCCTACCTACTCAGGAGGCTGGAATCTAAGGGTTGAGATGGGAAGCCAGCCTGGGCAGGAAATTCTATGAGAGTCTTATCTGCAATAAACCACCACCACCAAACACACACACAAACACACACACACACACACACACACACCACACACACACACACACACACACACAGGCCCGAAGTGGAGTTGTGGCTCAAGTGCACAAAAGGTGAGGGAAAGAACCTGAATTCAAGCCCCAAGACCAGCACCAAAAAAAAACAAACAAACACTTTTTTTCATCTGAAACCTAAAAGAGCAACTCCATTCTAGGGTTATCTTTTCCTGATCAGTGCAAAGGTGTTAAATAAAGCCAGGAGAATCAAGGCACAATGAACCTCTAGCTAACCTCTGTTGGCACCAACGCACCCTTAAGACTCTTAAAAGTATATTGTGCTAGGAATTTTAAGGCTTTCTTTAGATTTATCCTAGTGATAGCTATTTGATTTAATTCCTTTTAAACCTCAACTTTTCTACTAACACACCCCTAAAGATCACTCCCTGCTTTCTCAGGAAACATAGGGTTTCTCAAAGATTTTTGTTTTGTTTTTGCTTTTGTTTTTGATGTTGTTTAAAAGGGAATGCACCAGCCTGGTACCAGTGGTTCACACGGTAATCCTAGCTACTCAGGAGGCTGAAATCTGAAGACCACGGTTCAAAACCAGCCCAGGCAGATAAATCAAAAGACTCTAATCTCCAACTGATGAGTAAAAAGCCAGAAGTGAATGTGTGGCTCAAGTAGTAGAGCACCAGACTTAAGTATAAAAGTCAAGCATTTTAAGAGAGCTTTGTTTTCAAACTAGAACTCAAATTGTAGTTTCATTTTTAAAAGCTGAATGTAAAATAACTGGGTTATAGTATACAATAATAAACTCTAACATCAAAAAAAAGTTAATTAATTGGACCAAAAAGAGTTTTAAAGATTTTTACAGTTAAGAATCACTATACTCAATCCTTGGCACACACACACATACACACAAACACACACACACACACACACACACACACACACACAAGCATACATAACCTGTCCAGTCATTTCTTTCTAAGAAGTTAGAGGGGGAAAAGATGCCAAAAGCTACACAACTTTTGCCAGGCAGATTAGTTTTTAAAAGCTGAAAAGCTATAAACAACTTACAATTCATTCAAAAATAAATTACCAAAATTATGTCCCAGTGATACAAGAGACTACTACACAATGAGAAAAACTACATCTATCTATATTTGCTTCCACAAAAGACAGTCTATGTTAAGTGGGAAGCGCTAAGAGACAGTCATTATGCTGTGAACCCACGTTTGTTTAAAAAATAGTATAAATATATGTGTACACAGACATATGCTACTGAGAGAGTTGAGATGTGTCTCAGTAAAATGAAGAGAGAAGCAAAGAGAGAAAAGGCACCAACACCCTGCCTCCAACTAGTAAAACTAGTAAACTCCAGTAGAATTATAGGTTTACTTTTACATGCTTTTTTATTAGGTCATCTACATTTTCTTCTTTTTCAAAAGAGAGCATGCATTCGCTCTATAAAACAAACTTTGAAGTGACTCGTTGTGGCTTTTGTCCTCTATTAAAAAAAAAAAAAAACCTTGGGTAAAACAACGTGAATGCCAAATAGGGAAGTTCTTTCCACTTTGCCAAATGACTGTCCACCAACATAGCCACTCCTGAAACAACACTGAATCAGGTAATTTTGTATGCAAGGCAGGCTTCATCAATCCTGGGCTTGAAAGACTGTCAGAAAACAACTTTCCTCAAGCACTCAAGCTATTCTTCCTACCAACCAAGCAGGGGTTACTTAATTGGTGTCCAGCAGTAGGGAGGGGAAGACTTAGTAGCTCAAGACTGAGAGATTCTAATTCTGGTTGCTCTGTTTGCTAGCTTCATTCTCTAGGGCAAGGTTGTCTATCTAGTGAAAATAACATGATTCAAGTAGTATCACCTGACAGGTAATAGGACATGATATGCATAAGACATGATATGCACACACTTATGGAGACCCACACATTAAAAATCTAAACACATGGAGACTAGATTTTTATTTATTTTTTTTTTTTTTGGTCAGTTGTGGGCCCTGAACTCTGGGCCGGGGCGCTGTCCCTTAGCTCTTCAGTTCAGGGCTGAAGCGCTCTACCACTTGAGCCACAGACCACTTCTGACTTTTTCTGCTTATGTGGTACTAAGGAATCGAACCCAGGGCCTCATGAATATAAGGCAAGCACTCTACCACTGAGCCACCTTCCCAGCCTCTAAAACTAGATTTTTGAAGGAAGAAAAAGGAGAAAAGAGGAGGAGAAGTAAAGAAGGAAGAAGAGAAGATGAAGAAGGAGAAGAAAGAAGAAATCTCAACCAATCTAATGACTCCAAACTAGATTCCCTAAGAAAACTGGCATTCTACCTCTATGACCCGATAGAACAATAAGATTATGTTCCTTTTCATTTTATGTACTTTCAATTAATTAAATTTTTGATGGCTATCATTACTTATTATCTAAGCAATGTAACAGATAAAAAATGAATAAAGTAGAAAGTATTAATTGAATCCCATGTTCATTCAAGAAACACAAAACATTTTGTGGGTTACATGACTCACACATAATCCTGTAATCCTAGCTACTCAGGAGGCTGAGATCTAAATATCCTGATTCAAAGTCAGACTAGACAGAAAAATCTGAGACACTTTTATCATCAGTTAACTATCAAAAAGCCAAAAGTGGCACCGTGGCTCAAGTGGTAGAGTGCCAGCCTTATGCAGGAGTGCTTAGGCCTTGTTCATAGCCCAATACCCACACACACACACACACACACACACACACACACACACACACACACACACACGCACGCAATGGTGTTTTGCTTTTTAAATTTTCTAAATGTATATATTCTCATTACTACACACACATATGCTGGAAATATTTCAGTATTTCAGTTACTGTCACTGAGGACATTGTTACATAGTGTTTCAATGGAACTAAATACAGCAATGTTGTAGCAATGTTTAGAAGCCCATATCAGGGTTGAAGAACTAGTTCTGCTTCCTAGTATGTGCCCTGGGGAGAGTTCCCACTAATAAGCCTCCATTTCCTCCTCTGTAAAACAGAGATAATAGTATGGACATCTCACAGCTATGTGAATACTGAACTAATGCTGTGTTTGGTTAGAAAAAGCAACAAGAGATAAGCACTTGATAAATGATAATAAATGATGATGCTGTCAGTGTGGGGGCCATCATCATCATCATCAGAATTATGGCGGGAATTCAGCAATCTACTCAATGGCTTGACCAGTTTGTCTCTGGGACTCAGAAACTTCTTTAATAACTTGTTCAGATAAAACAAACATTAGATAATACATAGACAGAGAGATAGATGACAGGTGTATATAGAGAGAAAGATATGTGTGTGTGTGTGTGTGTACGTGTGTGTGTACGTGTGTGTACATAGAATCAACCTAAAAGTTTAATATTGTTTTAAAACAAAAGATTATAGCGCCACCTACTGGAAGTTTAACATTTAATACACAAGTTACTACTATTTTTTATTTTTCATTATGAATAAATATTCTTTGAAATATCACCAAAGGAAATGGGTGTATCTGGGAAATTAAGGAAACTGTACTAAAGTGAACAGTTAGATGGTGGAATGGGAGAATGATGGGTGGGGTGGCCGATTAAGAATCACCAAACACTTAGATGGGCATGATAATTGTAACTCCCTTGTACAACCTTGTACAACCAAATAAAAACAGACCTACCATTTTCGATTTTGCTTTTAGGATGAGGTCCACTGAATGCTAAAAATTTTCCTGGAACAATCCAATTGAAGTCACCATTTTCAACTCGCTGGCAGAAGATTGTGAAAAAAAAGAAAAGAAAAAGACTTTACAATTCGTATACAATTTAAGAAACCTTTACAAATAAAACTGTCTTTCATGTTAATACTAGACTTCTTGGACCTACAAGATAGTACACCACCATGTTATTTGGCTCTCAAAATACTCCTTGTGTGTTTGATCCATTTCAGAAAATGTCCTATCCAGACTTAAGACAAGCTAGTCTATTCTATAAAGCAAGTTTGTCTCCAGGCCATTCTGCAAGGAACTAAAACAGAAATTAACAATGAATACAGGGAGGTGACAGAAATAAGAAGTAAGCGTTTTCCGTGAACACAGTAAACAGACTTTAACCAATAAAAAAAATAGCATAAACACTAGGTTCATGATGAACACACTCCCAAATATTTTCAATTTTTGTGGACAGCTACATGCTGATTTAAGACTTCGAAGGGTCAGGAGGAAGGAGGGCGGGGCTCAGATTTCTTACCCCTGGAGGTACACCACAAATCCCAGTCAGATAAGGTGACCTGCAGGGACTGCCAACCTAAACAAGGGTCAGCAATAAAGGCGAGTGCTTAATCACCCTACAGGGAGGCTTCTGAGTGCTGGGAATGTGGCTTAGTGGTAGAGTGCTCGCCTAGCATGCGTGAGTGAAGCCCTGGGCTAGATTTCTCAGTACCACGTACACAGAAAAAGCCGGAAGTGGCACTGTGGCTTGAGTGGTAGAGTGCTCGCCTTGTGCAAAAGAAGCTCAGAGACAGTGCCCAGGCCCTGAGTTCAAGCCCCAGAACTGGAGAAAAAAGAAGAAAAAAGAACAGAATGCACACAATCCTCCCACTGAATTTCCAAAGGATATCTCCTTAGCTTTGAAATATTAGTTATTTTGAAGCAGGTTTTGGATTATCATGAAACTAAATAAAACCCATCTATGAGCTGACTTTGATCACCACTGGTCAGCCTCTAGTCTATCTACACTCTGAGAGGGATTCAAAAACAAGGTTTAAGAGACCGGTGTTGGTGTAATCCTAGCTACTCAGAAGGCTGAGATCTGAGGATCAAGGTTCAAAATCAGCGATGGCAGGAAAGTCCACACAAGACTCTTATCTCCAATTAACCACTAAAAAAAATCCCTGAAGTGGAGCTGTGGCTCAAGTGGTAGAGTATTAGCGTTGAGCAAAAATGCACAAAATGTAAGTATTCCTCTTTACTCCTTTCTTGCCCGGGGCCTGACCCCAGGCCTCTTGGTCTCCATCTTGGGACAGAACCTCCTATGATTGCCCAGCGGTGGGAATCTGAGCTGAGTAGAGTCTGTACTCTTCTATAAGAACTCTGTATAACTCAATTGTGTAATCATTATTAAACAAATTGGAATACTGCCATCAAGAAAAAGCTAGCAGCACTCCTTTATTTGCTTACATTACGCATTGTGATTGGCAGACAAATCAAAACTTGACTATATAGTGTTCCCTTTCGAAAGCTGGGTGTATCTTTTTCTGTGCTTCAAAAGTGGTAACCGAAGCTTTACCTGACACCTTGGGAAGGTCTGCACGTCATTCACCTAGTTGTAATAAGCGTAACATTTCCCTCATGCCCTAAGTCTCGAGAGATTCAATGAGTGTTGAGTGCACACATGTTGCTACTTATTTACAACAATTTGAAGACAGAATCCAATATACAACTCTTTAGCACAATTAACCATTATCTTATTTAACTAAAATAGTCTCAAAGTAATGATTCCCACATTGCTCTTGAATCATGATGAAGCTTAAAACACTAAACTACTTAAAACTTCACGAATAAGAGTATGTGCTAATCATCTAAAGAATAAAACAAAGTCTAGAAGGAAAAAAAAAGCAAGTTTCTACGTTCACGATATCCGTGCCCTTGGCCACCAATGTAAATAAATATATTGTGTCCTATCATTTTATTTTGATTATGCACAAATGGCTGGTTACAAAGTAGCCTTGGGGGGGGGGGAATGGGAGGAGAGGGATGGGAAGGGGAAACAAAGGAGGAGGCTACAATGGTTGATAAGAAATATACTCATTACCTTGCTCATATAATTGTAACCCCTCTGTATGGTACTTTCACCAAAAAAAAAAAAAAAATAGTAGTAAAAAAAAAAAAAAGGTAGCCTTTTATATAGCCGGGTGCCAGTGGCTCACCTGTCATCCTAGTTATTCAGCAGACTGAGATCTAAGGATCACAGTTCAAAGCGAGCCCAGGCAGAAAATCCATGAAACTCTTACATCTAATTAACCACCAGAAAGCAAGAAATGGAGCTGTGTCTCAAAGTGGTAGAGCGCTAAGCTTGAGCGAAAGAGCTCGGGGACAGCACCCAGGCTCTGAGTTGAAGCCCCATGACCAGCAGAAAATAAATAAATAAATAAATAAATAAAAAGTAACCTTTTATAATCAAACACATGAAAGAGAGGCAGTGTTTCCTTAAGACACGTTCACTCAGGAAACCAAAGGAATATGTCAGTAAATCTTCCTACTCCAAAAGATAAACATTAGATCATCTCCAGCTGTGTTTAGCAGTTTGGATAAGGTTAATGGAATAAAAAGATTTAGGTCTCAGATTTTAAAACCTGGAAAAAAAAAAATAGCACGCGAATGGCAGCTTTTACGATTTTTAACTCCCATTTCCTGCAGAGAGAACAGGAAAGATTCCCTTTTCTAATTTTTTTTTCTATTTCTCCCAATTTTATCCTGTTACACTAAAATAAACCCTGGCTGACGCTGTCACCTTGTGGGACTCTCTGTAGAGTGAGACACTTTGAAATGTATGCCCTGTGGGGAGATCAAGGGCCTAGGATTTAGCGTAGGGATTCAGGAAGTTAAGGGAACCCTCAACTATCATCTGATGACAGAGACCAGGGAGCCCACGCCTGGAAGTGAATATCACGAGTCTGGGTCCTTCTCCAAGGCATGTACAAGCAAACCCAGAAAACATCTCTAAAGCACAGCTCCTAAAAAAGTACAGAGAAGATAAAATAAAATTAACCTTAAAATAGATGCCAACGAGCTCACTCATCCCAGCAATAAGAGATAGGGAAAAGCCCAGGCAGGGAAGTCCTTGAGACTCTTATCTCCAATATTCCACTAAAAAGCCGGAAGCACAGCTGTGGCTCAAGTGGTAGAGCACTAGCCTTGAGCACAAAACTTCAGGGAGAAAGCCCAGGCCCCGAGTTCAAACCCCAGGACCCCCCCCACACACACACACACAGAGTACAGTTGGTTAAACAATACTTTTTTTTTAAGCCACTGTTGAGAAACAAGATTGTAGATGTTTGACACTCTAAGACAATCCGTCAGATAACAGTATTGCTCCTGAAGCTGATATATTGAAAATGTGCCATTCTTCACTTTAACTCACGCTTCTTCCATCCACAAAAGATTCAGCCTATTTTTCTTGAATAGCTAACTCTCCCAGCACACGCATAAATGTAATTGGACTGAAAGGCAGGAATTTTCACAATTCTAAGAAATACATCTGTGTCTCTATTGTGTGCTCACAAATACATCTTTCAGTCCAAACCCCTAAAAAGTATTTGGCCTATTTGCAATTGAAGTTCAATCCTACAGTAAAATGGGGAAGATAGCCAGGTGCTGGAGCCACAAGCCTATAATCCTAGCTACTAGCTTTGAACACACATAAAAAAGCTCAGAGCATCCAGGCCCTGAGTTCAAGCCCCAGGACCCGGCACACACACACACACACACACACACACACACACACACACACACGATCGTCCTCAAGGTTGACAAATCAATGGATTGAAAGTTTTGAGACCAGTTCCTTCTCTTGATAGATTTTTTTCTGTTAAGTTGGATAAGCAACTTTGAAGCACAATTTGACAATCACTCAAACACCAGCTAAATCTTTATTACATAGCAAGGATTGTGACTTGATGCCACACATAAAACAAACTGCATTCATCTCTGCATTTAATGGAGTTGTAGATAAGCAAGAATGATATGTAATAGAAATATGTGACACAATTACTGTAGCAATTGAGAACTCCACTGTAAAGCTCCACTGTTTGCCCATGTAGCTCATTTAATCCATGAGCTGATGGTACTATCATTCCAGTTTTATCCATTCATCTTAGCTATATGCCACCAGGCAAGTATATAAGAGGTATAAAGGTTACAGAGGTGACACAAAGAGACAGAGACAGAGTGAGAGAGATACAGAGAGGGAGAATTATTACTGGTCTTGGGGCAGAACTCAGGGTCTGGGCACTATGTCTCAGCTTTTATGCTAAAGGCTGGTGCTCTACCACTTGAGCCACAGCTCCACTTCCTGCTTTTTGGTGGTTACTTGGAGATAGGAGTCTCATGATCTTTCCTGCCCAGGTTGGCTTCCAACTGTGATCCTCAGATCTCAACCTCCTGAGTAACTAGGATTACAGGCATAAGCCCCTGGCACCCACCTACAATGTCTTTTTAAATATTTAGTTTAGCCGGACTCTGGTGGCTCACGCCTATAATTCTAGCTACTCAGGAGGCTGAGATCTGCAAATCGCGGTACAAAGCCACCCCGGGCAGGAGAGACCGTGAGACTCCTATCTCCAATTAACCACCAGAAAACTGGAAGTGGCGCTGTAGCTCAAGTGGTAGAGCGCTCGCCTTGAGCTGAAGAGCTGAGGGACAGCGCCCGGGCCCAGAGTTCAAGCCCCACGGCCGACAAAAAAATATACATATATATTTAGTTTAAAAGTGCATTCCTTATATTTTCCTAACTTTAGAACCAATGAATGAAAGCTAAGGGAGCTGGGCTCCATTACCTAAATACAAATAGGCTTTAAAGACAGGCACTTTATGAGCTTAGAGCAAAGTCAATATTTGGGTTGTTTGGGTTTAAATTAAGTTTCCACATCCTTTGGCTTTAAATAATAAAGTCTAGATTATTAATTTAGATCTACTTCTGAGCCAGATGTCCTGGAGGAGGAAACTACTTTGCCTCTGTGAGCAACAGCTGGGAAAGGGAGAGGGAGAGGGAGAGAGAGAGAGAGAGAGAGAGAGAGACAGCTGGGGCAGGGAGGGAGGGGGGAGCAGGAAGGGAGCAGTTGGATGTGGGGCGCTCAGGACTCTGCGGGACTGCTCCATGACCAGACCTGTCATACTTCTGCTGATACAACACAGCCAAGAAGCGAAAACACAGTCAAAGTCTGCTGATGCCACTCTAATGCAAAAATGTGTCCAACCAGAAATCATGAGGCCCTACGGAATAGCGGAGTAGCCAGCAGCTCAGTGGCTCACGCCTGTAATCCTAGCTACTCAGGAGGCTGAGATCTGAGGATCATGGTTCAAAGCAAGGGCATCCATGAGACTCTGATCACAAACAAGCTACAAAAAAAGAAGTCCAGAAATGAAGCTGTGGCTCCTCTAGCCTTGAGCAAAAAACAGCTCAGGAACAGTGCTCAGGCCACAGAGTTCATGCCCCAGGGCAGGCAAAAAAAGAAGAAGAAAAAAGAACAGCAGAGTATCAGGGGAGGGGCAGGGAGAGACAGGACTGGCCACGTAGCTGGAGAAAGATGGCCAGAGAGGGAGAGGAAGAAAAATGCAAGCCATAGCACCTTACAAAGTTAGAGAAAGTTCTCAGGTTTCCAAGACTAAAGAATGGCTTCACAAGAATTCAGGAGGTGGCCTGAATTGGCGAGAGAAGTCGTTGTGTTGGCAAGAGAAGTTCTAGTAGAACTGTCATGGTGGAGGTCAGAGCGGAATTTGTTCTTGACACTGCTCTTCTTGCAAGAAGTCTGGAGGTGAAAGAATAAACAGGGACCACATGCTAATTAAAGATGGGGGGGGGAACATGAGGAATTGCTTGGGACAAGGTAGACCTCAAAATATTTTATCAACACAACCAACATGATCTTTAACTAGCCATGGGTGCCACTGATTAGCAGATGTGCAAACAACTGGCAGGGACCAGGAAGAAACCCATGGCCTTGGAGAGGTGAAACCAGAACTGCCAAATGACTCCAGGGGAATGCTTCTAATAGTTCTCCCAGTCGAGTCACGGTGGAAGGCACAGGCCTGTGAACTCTGTAGAAGGGACGACGTGCCTACCGGCCTGCAATCTGGGGGCCTGCCACTGCCCGGGAACTGCAGCGGGAAATCACAATCGCAGTGGAAGCAGGTTCCATGTTTTCCAGGTCACAGCCCAGGCCCATGAGAAGCCAGTGGAGCCAGCAGTGCCCGGATGACATTCTACAAATGGAAGTCCTACAAACTTCCATTTGCCCTGCACATTTCAATCCAAAGCAAAACCCTGACACGTCATTCTGTAGGTGTCCAACGACACCGATTGACAATGAGATTTCTTGGGATGAGAGACCTAACAAACTTTACTGGTTTTCAAGGTATATGCTAAGGGACGGAAATCAGTAGTCTGCCTGAAAAGGTCAGTATGCCAATTTAGCTACACAATCAAGGACACATCATCAACCTGGAGATTGCTCTCGTTCACCCAGTATACTCCACTGACACACAGACCTGGCCTTAGATTACAAAAACTATCTATGTTGCAAATAACTGGATTTGGTTTGGGTTTTGTCTGGTCTTGGCACTTGAATTCAGTGCCTGGCCCCTGTCCCTGAGCATTTGTGATCAAGACTAGTGCTCTACCACTTAAGCCACAATTCCACTTCTGGCCTTTTGATGATTAATTGGAGATAAGAGCCTCATGAACTTTCCAGCCTAGGCTGGCTTCAAGCTACGATCCTCCAAGAAACTCAGCCTCCTGAGTAGCTAGGATTCTAGGCATGAGCCACCAGCACCCAGCTGGGTTTTTCTTCTTAGTTACTCTTACAGCCTAGATTAGCTAGTGATGAGAGAAAGCACCATCATTTCAAGAAGATGTCTAATCATAGTAAATTTGTTCCCCAGAGGCTCCTGCAAAATCAGAACAGATTCTGAACAAGTCTTAGTCACTTGCGATTGTACAATCATTCATTAGTTCATGCCAGAAGCATTGAAAGACTTCCCTCAGTGAGTGAGCTATGCTACCCAGTTACTTATTCGTATGAAGACAAGTTGGGCATGGCTCCTGCCCTGAAGTCCCCATGGAGAACACAGAAAACACAGTCATGCAAACAGTGTCACGCAACATTGCATGAGATGACCTTCCAGATAGGTGCTTAATAGTAAGCCATAGCACAGAGTGGGTGGAAAGGACTGGGGGCAGAAGGAGGAAGTACGAGCATGCCCCCAGGCTCCGCAGCAGGCAGCTGTGCCGCCATCTTGGAAACCACATGACTCAGGGGTGAAGAGGGAATGGAAACAGGCAAGTAAGAAGTCTACATTTCCATTCAGTCAGTGAGGAGGCCGAGAAGGACTTCAAATAGGGGATGGCTTAAAATTTAAAACATAATGTGATGGGATGATGATGATGATGATGGGGACACTTGAGGCCCAAGAGTCGGGAAAGAGCCACACCAGGCATTCAGAATGGGTCAATGTCTGCTCACCAACCGTTTCCTGATAAGTTGTTCTGTACTGTGGCTACAGGGAGGTGGAAGTATAGGAGGCAACTTGAAAGCTGCTTTTGCCTGGGCCCGGGAATCAAGTAGGGATGGGATACAGGCTGGGTGTCCTGCTTCTCCATTTTGCATCTATGTCTTTTGTCCTGAGCCAACCTCTCTTACAATCACTTTGCCGCCATCTTGGAACCCAGGGAGGACCAGACCACCTGTCAGGTGGCGGTGACTCTAACTGTAACAAGGCTCCACCTGACCAATCCTGAAGACAATGGGGAACCCAGCCCACCACCCCAGGGCACCTCTGCCCTACTCTCCACCTGCTTAGGATGTGGGACTGTTTTGACTGGGTGTGCTTTTTCTCACCCCATGTCCCCCCACTTCTCCCTGTTTAACCTAAGACAAATGTCTACGCCCCCTGACGACGGCTGAAGCACTGTCTCCCTGTAGATGCCAGGTAATGAATCTCCTTTCTCTGCCCTTCACCAGGTCTCGCTTGGCATATGGGCATGGCCATGCCTGTCCGGGGTGGGGGGGGGGCGGTAAGGGGGGGATTCCTGGAGTTTGGATCGAGGGTCTGAAAAGTCAGTTTCAAAGTCACTTTCTAGAGCAGCACTACTCTTTTGCCAAGGGCATGTCTTGGATGAAGATGGCACTGATGTGCTGGGCACTATGGACATGTTCCAGGAGCAAAACATTCCCCCAGCAGTGTGACCTGGGTCTGTGAGAATTGCCACATAGACAAGAATTTGAGAAGCGCTGGGGTGGGGAGAGGCTCATGGAAATAGGGAGGCTTAATTATTTCTACAGAATGAAGCATAAGAATGTACAGATATGATGGTATGAAGCGATCAAAGCCGAGTTTCCAACCCTACCTATGAAGAAATGAAGTTAAAGGTAGACAATGCCTAACCGTTCCCTCACATCTCTGAGCAAACGAAACATTATTGGAAAGCTTCCTAATTCCAGGGGAGGTGGAAGGGGGGGATTCAGTCAACTCTTCGAAATTCAACCATATTTCAAAATAAAATGTATACAGTCAAAAGTATTAAAAGGCACAAATGAAGTTTTGTTTGAAGGAAAATATGACTTTTAAACTAAAAGGCATGGGTATGCTGGCTCATGTCTGCAAATTCAGCTACTCAGGAAACAGCAATCAAGAGGTTCAAGGCCAGGCCAGGCAAAAATGCAACTCTATCCATACCTATAACTAAAGCCTAAAAGGGTTGAGGGTATGGTTCAAGCTGTAGAGGATTTGCCTACCAAGCAGGAGGCCCTGAGCTCCAACTCCAGTATTGCCAAAAAATAAAATAAAAGTAATTAACAATTCACTACCGAACTATGCCAAACTATCACTCTATGGGAGTTATTTTTTCTTCTAAACTAAAAGTGTAAAGTGGCTGTCAATAAAGGTTTGGTAAGAGAAGCTGGCCCTGGTGGCTCATGTGGGTAATCCCAGCTAATCAGGTGGCTGAGATCTGAGGATCAGGGTTTGAAGCCAGCCAAAGCAAGAAAGTCTGTGAGATTCTTTTCTCCAATTAATTATCACAAACCCAGAAAGTAGATCTGTGGCTCAAGTGGTAGAGCACTAGCCTTGAACATAGAAGCTCAAGGAAGGAATAGGGTCTGTCCAGACCCTGAGTCCAAGCCCCAGGATGGATACCAAAATAAAAACCAAAAAAAAAAAAAAAATAGGGTTGATAAGAGACAGTCGAGAGATAAGGCATTTTTCCAAATTAACATTTTAGTGAATTCTGGTTCAAATACAAAAACTAGTAAGTCAATAACCCTCATGAATGCTAATACCCGAGTGTTAAATAGCAAAAGAGTTAACCAATATGTCATTAAGTGTGGCAAAAACTGTAAATGCACCAACCTCATAATGTTCATATTCATCCACATCAAATGTCTCAAAGTCAAAAAATCCATGCTGTAACCCCTAAAAGCAGAATGTGAATTAGTTTCCTTTTTTTTTCCACACTAAGTTGATTTAAAAAAAAAATCACTCATTCTATCTAGAATTCATTAGAAAATGAAAGCAACTCTGGCCATCCATATATAAGCACCCCGGAAAAGACAGAAAGAAAAAAAAGAGGCCCTGAGCCACCCACTTCCCTTCTTTTCTGTTTATTTTTAAGCTGTGTTATGGATGTCCGCGCATGCGCACGTGACACATGAACTATGCCTGTGGCATCAAAGTCAGAAAATTATTTTCCCTTAGAAGGCTAAAATGTGGCCAGGTTCCATCTAAGTTGTCAGAAGCGAACTCATTGTCACAAAAACAGCCAATGCATCTCGGTTGCATACAACAACCTATCAGATCCTCATCTGATAAAACCTCATGAGCATTTGAGTAGACCCCAACATTGGATGAAATACGTTTAGAGAAACTGTATTCATGAATAAAGTCACACTTTTCCTGTACAACAGGAAAGATGTCATAAATTTTTATACCAAGTGACCAGTTACCAAAATAATAGGCAGAGATAATTCCAGTGGGAACTCATGTTCAGTTTCCTAAGTGTTATAATAAAAACAGCATATGTCAGATAGAAGGAAAAGCAGCACTATAGTAATAATAATAGTAACAATAAATAAATTACTTTTTCCCCTCAGGCATGTCATCTAAATGCTATAATTATGAGCTATATGTTGAATAACCTTCTCATAAAAGCTCTTAACTGTTATTACTGGAAGTATATTCTTGTTTGGGGGAGTGAGCTAAGATATTTCCATACTTTTTTGGGAAGGAAAAATACTTTTAAATTCTTTGGAGATCTTAAGAGACTTAAAAAAAAAACTTTTCATATGAAATATCAAAATCAAAAAGGCACAGCATATTTATCATACTCATTTTCTCAAAACAGAGCAAATTTGGTTTTGTATCACACCAAAGAAAAGAAATGCGAGCTAGAATCATTGCCGATACTAAATCAGTGTAATTACCAATGCAGTGGGTCATATAACATCTTTAAAAAAAAACGAAACAATAACAGTTACTGGCTGTGTGTTCACGGTGAAATGGTAGACTCTGAACCCTCATGAGAATTCCAATTTAGTTTGGATGACTTCCCAGCTTGTAAATTAAGTATGTTCCAAAAATCTTTCAGGTTAACTTTTCCATTTCCTATCCAAAATAACCAAAGAGGCCTAACTAATGTTACTGTGCATCAGATCACCTGGCAAGACTGTTCACACACAGGGCTACAGCCCTCCACCTCCAGAGTTTATGATTCAGTCTGTTTCGGGTGGAATCCAGCAGAGACCAGTAGCTGAGATAATTTCCTGTCTCTCCCACACCAAGATCCAGCCTGATAATGAAGCTAAGTGGATGACGGACACAGCAGGTCCAAGACCATAAACAGCTGAAATGAAAAGGGCGGTCTCTCCCACTCCCTCTTCCCAACTTGCCCTGTTGTCTGTATAGTTGTTCCTCCCTAGCTGGGGGTGGGAAGGGAGAGGGGGAGACAATTCCAGAACCTTCCACAGATACCAAGATCTGTAGTGTAGTGCTTGTATATAACCCACACACATCTTCCCATGTACTTTACATCATCGTGAGAATACTTACTCATAATACCTAATATGATGGAAAGATGATGTAAATAGCTGTTATACTGTACTGTCTAGGGAATTAATGATAGGGTGCTGGGGGAGGGGTACCTGCATAGGGTCAGTATAGATAGATGCAGATTTGCTGCAGTTGGTGTTTTCCACATGATCTTCCATTGGAAGGTGATGGTACCTATGGCTGAAGACCCTATAGAAACTGATGGGCCAATTGTACTTTATAAACCAAGTCTACTTCAGGAAGTTAAGAAGCTTTGGGTTACTAACACCCTCTCTACTTTCCAACAACAACGATGTTGAGATCAATCCTTTCCTAACTTACGTAGCCAACGGCAGCAAGAAGAATTGTGATTACCTTTCTGATACCTTGCAAGCAGTCGAGGATGGTGAGATTGTAAGTGCAATTTCCAAAGGAAGCATCCCTAGAAATATAAATAAACAGCATTAAGAGCCTGCATTCAGAATGTTCAGATGCTAAACACAGGGTCAGTCAGAGACATGCTTGCTTGGCTTCACAGCTAGTTGACATGGGAAACTCAGGCAACCCACCAGAACCTACTAACTAGTTCTGCCGGGAAACAGAAGCACCTCTGAAATTGCTTTGAATCTAACAGGCAGCAGAACGAACAAGAAAGCAGATTCTATAGCTCGAGTTCTAGAATCAGACTGCCTTGGTTTAAATCGCTCTCTGCCATGTACAGGGTATGAATTTGAGCAGTTAATTCACCTCTGTGACTTTTGGTTCCCTCATCTATGACATGAAATCAATGATAAATAATAAATTCCATTGGACTGTTGCCAGATTACATGAAAAAAAGAAACGAGAAAAGTCAAGTCTTCCATATAGGACACTGAACTGTTAAGGACTACTCTTACAAACAGTGAATTGGGCTGTTTCATTAAATAAAGCATTCACCATTACAAGCATCTTGGCAAGAACACGGTCAATATACAAGTATGGAAAGATACGGGAATCTAGCAACTGTGTTCATGCATTAACTGGTTCTTTCTCACCTACCAAAACAAACAAAAAGATAAAATGCAGTCATGCTTTTCAATAATCATCTTAGAGTTACTGAGATAATGAACCCTTCTAATGCGCCAGGAAGTGTTTTCAGAATGATTGGGAGCAAAAATAAAATTAAAAAAAATAAGAGAGAGAGAGAAGGAAAAAAATTAGTAGGAACCTATAGTAGCAAAAATAGGGGCTTTATACTTAACATTTTTAGAGCCACTTAGAAGACCTGCTTTAGGCAACATAAAACTGAAGTATCAAGTTCAGATCAGTTAAGCAAAAACTGGCACTGGAACTTTACACTAGCCCTGTTCCAAGGTGTCCAAGGCAGGAAACTTGACCTCCAGTCTCCCCGCCCCTCTGCCAGGCCCCATCGCTGACCCGAGAAACAGAGCTGTCAGGCACCTGTCCTGACAAAGTCAGATGCCCCAAATAAGGTTGGCCCAAGGGCACCCTCTGGGAAAGAGCCCAAAAGATGTTCCACAGAGTGAACACAACCTTTAAAGAGCTGCCACACATAATTAACATAAAATCAAGTTTTATATCTCAACCCATCCGAGGCAACTTGAACCTGGGGCTATGAAGCCAAGAATTAAAGTTCAAGTTCATCACCACTGAGTTTCAGAATCCTGAGAGGAGAGGCTAAAGGAAAAATAGTTGAATTAGCACAACAGTTCAACAGCAATGTGGCCCAAGTCCGGAAACCTGAAAGCTAACCTACATAAACAGGAGGGCTGATTTCAGGTACTGAAGCCTGGCTTCACGGGGAATGTCAGTGTTTTCATGATCATTTTCAGCACTCTGTGAACTCACAGCCAGAGAAAACACAAGTCCTTTTTCAAGTATCTTGTAAAGATGTAAGCCATACTCAAAGAAGCAAATTTTAAGGATTATAACCGGGAAAAGCAGAGACCCACGATGAAACACTTGTTTACATAAATACTTATGCCATTGCAGGCACCTGTCTCTTTAAAACAAGAGTTCAAAATCCTTGTACCACAGATCTAGTCTGATAAAGGCCATGGCGCATATTCTCTTTATGTCTTTAAAGGCATAAAATTAAAGACATAAGATTAGCAGCAAACAAAGTCAAGTGCATTTTATTTAAAGTTCTCAAGATATAAAGCCAATTTCTAATAGCCCAATATGTGTTTTTAAATGAATACATAACAGGAGCTAGGAGTGTAGTTCAGGGGCACAGTGCTGCCTGGTGTACACAAGGCCCTGATTTCAATCCTATACCCCAAAAGGTCCCCAAGGGCTAGTAGCAGGCCTGAAAATGTCATTTTGAAGAAGAAATGAATATATATATATGTATATATTATATAGGTGTACATGAAAGTGCACGTGCGCGCACACACACACACACACACACACACTAGTCCTGGGGTTTGAACTTAAGAGCCTGGGCACTGTCCCTGAGCTTTTCTGCTCAAGGTAGTGCTCTATCACTTGAGCCAGAGGTCCATTTTTGGCTTTTTGGTGGAACACCTTTCTACATCCATCATATTCTTTCCAATAAGTTTTCTCCATTGCAGCCAGAGAGATATTTGGGAGAGGAAAAAACAAAAAAGCAACTCTCGCATTGATTTCCCATTGCTCTCAAGATGAAGTTAAAAACTTCAACACAACCAGGCACTGGTGGCTCACCTGTGTAATCCCAGCTACTTGAAGATGGAGGTTCAAAAATCAGCCCACATGGAGACTCATCTCTCCAATTAACCAGCAAAAACCACAGGTGCGAGAATGGCTCAAATGGTTGAGTGCCAGCCTTGGATGAAAAACTAAGAGGCAGCACCCAGGTGCTGAGTTCTAGCCTTAGTACTGGCCCTGTGCTACCTGCCACCCCTCCTACTTCTGCTGCAGCTTCCTTATTCCTCCTTTCCTCATTCTGGGTGCCCTATAGCCTTCACTTAGCCCCTCAGATCACAAAACCTGAGTTTGTGAACCCACGTTCTTCCTACCCACCTTTGCTCAGGTTGCCTTCCTGAGGCTCACCCCCCTTCCCCTCCAACTCCACCTCTCCCTCCCTCCTCCTCCTCCTCCTCCTCTCTCAAACAGAGATCAGGAATCTCTGGAGGATCTATCTCCAGTCTCACCCTGACTAGATCAGGTCTCCAAACTTTTTCCCTCCTCTTTGGTCTTAACTACAGTTTGAAATTCCATCCGAGTGTGCTTATTTGGATGTTCTGCCTGGATCTAGAGACCACGGACGATGGCAGGAGCAAAGCCTTTAACACCCATCAATGTCTCCTTCCTACCTGGCACAAAATATGCAATAAATATCTGTGAAGACATGGTTAAGTTAAAGAATCTGGGAGCTCACCCAGAAATCTTTCTACAATATCTTATGATTATATTTGTTGACTCGGGTAGCCTAATGTCTTCTTTTGTTTGTTTGTTTTGCATGAACCCCAAATCCCTTCTGCTGTTTTATGATCATTTCCTTCTAGTCTCTCTAGCAGAGTATTAAATGGACAAAGCTAAGAGCAATGATGTTCAAGGTCATTTTTCATATGATATCAAACTCACTGGCTAAACTTAGGTATTTTAGAAAAGCTACACAGAAGCTGGGCAGCTGGTGGCTCAGGCCTGTAATCCTAGCTACTCAGGAGGCTGAGATCTGAGGATCACAGTTCAAAACCAGCTCAAGTAGGAAAAGCCCATGAGACTTTTAACCCAAAAAAAGCTGAAAGTGGAGCTGTGGTTCAAGTGGTAGAGCACCATCCTTAAGCAAAAAAAACTTAGGGACAGCATCTAGGCCCTAAATTCAAGCCCCAGTACACACACACACACACACACACACACATGCATGCACACATGCACATACATAGTTACACAGAGTTACAGAGAACTTTTAGGGTATCAGTCCTTATAACAATGTGTTGGAATGTTTCATCTTCCACAGTTTTTACAATTACTGCTCCAAATAGTTTAGTGGTTTATTCTTCTATTCATATGTTCAAACATGAAAGCATGATTTTATGATTGAACATATTGATGTTTCATGATTTCCTTCATGATTCATCCTAACACGAATTGAGAGGCAACTCCGTCCTAAAAGAGAGAAGAAGTGTACAGACCTCTTGCTGCCTGGATAAACTACAGCTCTTATCCCCATCTGCCATGAGAATTTGACTGTGTGGAGTATACCATTAATCTGTGAAACTGGCAAAGGCACAGCTAAGCACTGAGGCTCATGCCTTTAATCCTGCCTACTTGGAGACTGAGAATCTCACTTTAAGGCCACCATGGGAAGAAAAGCCCTTACCACCCCACCCCTCAACTCATAGCTGAGCCCAATGGTGCCCAAGCTACCTGGGAGCCAGAGACTGGGAGGATCCAAGTTCCCGGTCAGTCCCAGCAGAAAAATCTGTCAGACTCCAACTGTACGAAAGGAAGCCAGATGTGATGGTACCTGCCTGTAATCCCAACCACGAGAAGCCCAAAAGTAAGCATAACTCAGCTCAGGCACATGCCCGGTGGGGAGACACAAGATCTTCTCTCAAAACTAACCGGAGATAAACAGGGCTGGAAAGAAGTGTGGCTCAAATGGTAGAGTACCAGCCTAGCAAGCACAAGGCCATGAGTTCAAACCCCAGTACCACCAGAAAGCAAAAAACAAAATAGAACTGCATTCATGAGACAAGGTAGATCCCTAAACACTCAAAGTTTCCAGCCATACATCTCTGCTGAAGAATAAATCATACATCTCTAACCCCCAGTGCAGAAAGGTAATGTGATAGCCCATAGCTGTCTAGAGACATTCCAATACAAGTTCAGCACAGCCTCATGCTCAACCATCAAAACTTCATCCACCTCAGCAACTCTGTCTTTCAATACTTGACTTCTGGCATCACAGGCAGTTGGACCATAAAGTGACTACCAACTGGTGATAAAACTCCATGTTAGATATATCATCTTGGGAAGAAGTCACTATCTATATAGTTTTTTTTTGCGGGGGGGGTTCCGGGCATGGGGTCTGAACTCTGGGCCTGGGCGCCATCCCTCAGCTCTTCAACTCAATGCTAGCGCTCTACCACTTAAGCCACAGTGCTACTTCCGGCTTTTTTCTGCTTATGTAGTACTGAGGAATCGAACCCAGGGCCTCATGCATGCGAGGCAAGCACTCTACCACTGAGCCAACTTCCCAGCCCTCTATATAGTTTTATATATATATATATATATATATATATAGTTATTGAATAAAAACAATGAACAAATAATTAAAATAGAATAATTGACCTTTTTATTTTGTTTTTGTATTCTTTCATAGAAAAGAAAACTACAATCACCAACAACAATTAGATAACTAAGAGTAGAGTTGTCTAGTAGAAGCTCTCAAGAACAGATTACTAAATATTCAAAGAGCCTAAGTCAACAATTGACAGCAGTGTTTACACCCCA